AAAAAAAAAAAAAAAAAAATTTTTTAAAAAAAAAAAAAAAAAAAAAAAAATTTTTTAAAAAAAAAAAAAAAAAAAAAAAAATTTTTTAAAAAAAAAAAAAAAAAAAAAAAAATTTTTTAAAAAAAAAAAAAAAAAAAAAAAAATTTTTTAAAAAAAAAAAAAAAAAAAAAAAAATTTTTTAAAAAAAAAAAAAAAAAAAAAAAAATTTTTTAAAAAAAAAAAAAAAAAAAAAAAAATTTTTTAAAAAAAAAAAAAAAAAAAAAAAAAAAAAACGTAGTATAATTATATACCTCATGATAATTTTAAAAATGGAAAAGTAAAATATGAATAATGAAATTTAACGTAATATAAAAACATGCATTCAAAAGCCACATGAAAGTTAAAAAATAAAATAAAATAGCAAATTCAAATAAAATATTAATATCAAAAACAAAATAAAGAAATCAGGGTAAAATAAAAAAAATGTAAAATTATTGACAAAATATTTATATTACTCATCTATATTTTTTCTTTTTTTTTTTTTCATAGATGAAAGTGTTAAAAAAAAAAAAATTTAATAAACTGATAATGCATTTTAAATTATGTTATTATATAATTTATCTTTTTTATAAGTAAATTTGAGAATATATAAAAGACAAAAAGATAATAACCATGGTAAACATGTAAGAATTAATAAAACATCTGATAAAACATTAACATTGTGCTTATTAACATTAATATCACTGAAATTGTTCACTTTTTTTCTATCAATATAATTATAACGATTTAACAAAAATGATAAAAAAAAAGTGCCTATAATAGAAGATCCTATGTTTTCAAATGCATTCATTAATGCCATAACAAAAGCAGTATGTCTTTGTTTTACTATATCAATTATTATCGGCTTATGTGTACCAATGTTTATCCATCCACTTAATATACCCATAAATAAAGAAATAATTACAAAATATATAAATGATTCTGCTTCTTTTGGTATAAAAAAAAATAAAATAAACATTAGACCAATTCTCAAAAAATGAGTGCACATTCCTATTAATTGACGATTTATATCCTTATTTAATTTGTAGATATAATCACTTATGATTCCAATAAATGGAGATATTAAACTTGCACACAACCAACTTACTGATATAATAAAACCACTTTTAAAATCAGATATATTACAATATTGAAAAAAATAAATCATTAAACTAAGAACATGTTTTGGTATTCCATTTAACATTCCCATTGTTATCATTAACCAAAAACTATAATTTTTAAAAACATATTTTACTTCATATATATAAGAAAATTCGTATTTTAATTTTTTCTTTTTTTTGTTTTCTTCATTTTCTAATAATTTATCCATTTCTCCTTTTTGTTCTAACTTATCTTTCTCTTCATTCTCATTTGTAAAAAAAGAAATAGTATCGCCTTTTTCATTTACATTATGTTCATTTTTTTTATCTTTTGAAACAATATTTGATGATAAATCAAGGGAAAAACTATCTCCTGAATTATTTATATTATTATTATACAAATTATTCTTATTATAATACTGTTTTAAACTATCTTCATTAGAGTTAATAAAATTTCTTTTAATAATGTTACTATCTATTTTATCCATATTAAAATTTATGCTATTATCATTACAGTCATTACTTATATATGTAGAATTATTCATACTAGACTTATTATTTATATAAGAATTATTTTCATTAAAACTTAAAATTTGCTTAGTTTCATTTAAATCATTACTATCAAAATAAGAATTCTTCATTTCAAAAGTATCCTCATAATTTTCTTTAAAAATATCACTTTTTAAAAATTTCTGCTCAATATCATATGGTTGTACTTCTTTCTTACTTAATTCATTAAAATGTGATTTATTACAATTTTTTGAATAATTATCCTCACTATTTTCATTACTTACCTTAGTTAACCCATCAAAAGAAACAAAATAGTTCATGCTGGCATGTTTACTTTTATCAGTTCCTAATTTTTTATGTTTGATTAATTTAAATAAAAATATACAAACAATCAATGGGAAAAAGGAAATTATAAAATAACAAATACGCCAACCTTTAAATCCATAGTAAAATTTATTACTTAAATTTGTATTTATAGATATAGACAACATATGAGATATAGATGAAAAAAAATGCAAAAAACCAAAAATAGTACTTCGATTTTCACTATACACATTATTAGTATATATTTTTTGTATTAATATATATATACTTGAATTATTAATACCCATTGCAAACATAAAAAAAAAAAAATAATAAAAATTACTAGAAAGCATTATACCTATTATAACTATTATATATATCAAGGATGATATAATCAATATATTTAAAATATATGTATATTCTCTTATAGTTACTTCGTCATTTTTATTAAATGTGTTTTTAACATATTTTACATCATTATATAATATTTCTTCTTTATTACTTTCATTTAATTCTGCATATTTTTCATCTGTTTGCAAATTTATTTCATCCATTAACTTAACATTTTCTGTTAACTCATCTTCACCTTTAACAATTTCTTCACATTGAGTGTCATTAGATTTTACTTGATCATATTTAGAACAAAATATTTTTTTAAATGAATAATCAAAATAGATTGCAAAGAAAAAATTAGAAGCTGAATATGCTAACTTATAAATAGTATTCATATAATACAAGGTTTTTACATCTGTATTAAAATCATTTTCAATTGATTTATATAATGAAGGTAGTGTTTGTTCAAGATATTTATGTATAAATGTAAAAAAAAGAGATAACAAAAAAATATTTATATAAGTATACTGAAGTTTACTTTTGGGAAACAAATTCTTTACATCATAAAAAATTCTCTTTATTAGAATATCTTTTTTTTTCCATTTTATATCTGTTTCACATATATATGATTTTTCCATCTATTCAAATATTTTTATAATATTTAATTTTTTTTTTTTTTTTTTTTTTTTTTTTTTTCGGCAATTATATATTTAAAAACTCTATCATTAAAAATTCCCTTTTCTTCTTTTATAAATTTATGATATATTTAACGAGATTTCTTCAAATAAAAAAAAAATTTTATACAGAAGTAATGTAATATGTTTTATAAATATAGACGAATTATTAAGTTTAAAACAATATATAAAAACTAGAATTAATAATAATGCTTTTAATTCAATAGCTTATATAATATATTTTTATTGATCGTATATAATGTTTGTTCCTTCAAACAAAAAAAAAAAAAAAAAAATAAAATAAAATATTATAAAAAAAGTTTAAAAAAAATTTTAAATTTATAATTTTATTAAAAATGTAAAAATAACATACACAAAAATTTCTAAAATTGTTATAAATTAAGTAAAAAACAACTTAAAATATATCAAAATCTTCCATTCCAAAATGAACAAAAAAATAATAAAATATAAACAATCATACAATAAGAATTAAAATTAAATATATTTATTTTATTCATTATTTAAAAAGTAATCATTCTAAAAATTAAAAAAAATAATATTCATAATTTAATAATATTTGAAAAATTTTTTCATAATTTTTTTTTTTCTATAATATTTAATTAAAAAAAAAAAAAAAAATAAACAAACAGAAAAAATAAAAATCAAAAGATAAAAAAATATAGTATGTAAAAAATAAAAAATAAAAAATAAAAAACAAAAATTAAAAAATAAAAAATGAAAAATGAAAAATGAAAAGTGAAAAATGAAAAATGAAAAATGAAAAGTGAAAAATGAAAAATGAAAAACAAAAAACAAAAAACAAAAAACAAAAAACAAAAAACAAAATATAAAAAATGAAAAATAAAAAACAAAAAACAAAATAAAAAAATTCTTAGTTAAACGTACATTGTTCATTAAAATTATTTTTCTGAAATTATAAGTCAAACACTTTTTTTTTAATAAGCAGTACTTTTTTTATATAAAACATACAATTCAATGCTTATTTTAGAGATTTTTTTTTTTTTTTTTTTTTGTTTAAATAATTTGAAGAATATTAATATATTTTAATAAAACAAAAATAAAAGATAATTAAAAAAAAATTTTATAAATCATACTATAATTTATAAAGACACAATTTGATTTTATATTTTTTATCATAATATATTTTTTTTTATAATAATTTAAGAAATAATCATAAAATTATATAAAAGTTCTTGAAAATTTTTCTTATCTTTTCTTTTCTTTTCTTTTCATTTCTTTTCATTTCCATATAAATTAAGTTAATACAACAAAAATGATATTAATATAAAAAAAAAAAATAAATAAAATAATGAAACATAGTTTGACAGAATAAAATGGCAAAAAAAAATATAAAAAACATAATTCCAACTGATGCTTTTAGAAAACAACAAAAAAAAAAAGAAAAAAAAAAAAAGAAAAGGGAAAGAGCTTTACAGCTAGAGAATATTATAAGTAAAAAAAATCCATACATAGTTAAAGAAAAATTAGATGCCTTTAGAAAAAAAGAAAAACAAGGAAAATTATTACCAATTGAAAAAAACAAATTAAAACAATATGAACATTTATGGAATTTAATAAAAGAAAAAGTAAAAAATAAAAATTATTTTTATAATAATAATGGAAATATATATAGCATAAATGAAAACAATAATAATGAAAATAAAAATTTAGATGAAAATGAAATTTGCGAAAATACATTAGAACATAATTATGTTGAACCTAAAAGTGATAAAAAATTAAATGAATCAAATCTTAATACTTATAATTCTGATTCCCAAGATGATTCTGATTCTCAAGATGATTCAGATGATTCTTCTTCTTCACATGATACTTGTGTAGAAAATGTAAAAAATGATAATATATATATTTCAAAAAATGTAGATGATTTAAAATCAAAAATAAAAAATGATGATGAAGATGATTTTTTCTTAGAATCATTGCCTTCATTGCCTAAAGGGTTACCTGATAATCTAATAGAGATTTTAGAAAATTCCAATATTATTGAAAATAATCACTTTAGTAAAATTAATGAAAATATATATAAAAATAATACAAAATACATACCTCTTAATGTAACTAATTTCAATTATATATATAGTAATGAACAAAATAATCTCACAAATTATTATAATTCGCATGCATATTTACATCATAATTCTTGTAATAAAAACAAATTCATATATATAGATTCTAATAAAGAAAAGAATAATATGGAAAATTTTGAAAATGTAAAAAATAATTGTAATAATGACGAAATAGATAAAAAAACATTAAGTGATGTATATAGAAACTCAAGTTATTACTTAACTAGCGAAACAAATAAAGTAGTATCTAATTATCAAAATTATCCTTTAAATAACAATAATAAAAACATCAATATTAAAAATAATAATAATGTAAATGACATCTTTAATAATATTACTAATAATTATACTGGTGATAATAATAATAATAATAGTAATAATAATAATAATGATAATGATAATAATAGTAATAACAATGAAAATAATAATAATGATAATAATAATAAAAATAATGATAATAATAAAGATGATAGTAATAATAATAATAATAATAATAAGGATGATAGTAATAGTAATAATAATAATAAGGATGATAGTAATAATAATAATATAAATAATGTTACTAATGATATTAATAGTAACTCTAATATTTTAATTTCAAATTTAAGCATTGAAAATAAAAACAAAGAAAATTTTTTTTCTGCGAATTATAATTCAAGTCATTTAAAGGATAAAAATAATTTAAATTATTCTAACAATTTTAATAATTGTTATAATAATATAGAAAATAATTTAAATGTTTATACATATAATAGTAATTACGATTATTTGAATACTGCTTTTAATAATAATATTAAAACCATTAACACTAATACTTATAACAATTTAAATTATAATAGTAATTACAATTATAATTATAATTATAATAATTTAAATAATAATAACTATTTAATTCCATTACATAACAATATGAACAATAATTTTCATAATAATTTTCAAAATAATTTTCACAATAATTTTCAAAATAATTCTAATGATTTAAAAAACTATGTAGATAAAAACAACAATTTTAATTACATGAATATGAATAATAACATTTATTATTCTGGAAAAAAAAATGGAAAAACAAAAGATAATTATAATACATCAAATTATGATTTACATAAAAAAAAGATAAATAATTCACAATTAAATTCAAGTATAAATAAATCAAATGTAAAAGAAGAGGAAAAAAAACAAAATACCCACTATTTTGTACCTATTAATTTAAGATTAAAAAATAAATTAGATGACGTATGCGAAACAAAAATTAACATAATTAACAAAGAAAATTATAATAATGATAAAAACATTAATATAGATCAAGAATATAATAAGTTTATAAAAGAAGTTGATTTACATTAGAAGAATAATTATTAATTTAATTTTTAAATAATAATACAATAGACAAGTTATATTATATATATATATATATATATATATATATATTTTTTTTTCATATTTATTTTATTTTTTTTTTTTTTTAAGTTTTTAAATAAATTTCTACTTATATAAAAGTATTTAATTGTTAAAAAAAAATATATTTTTCTAATAAAAGGAAAAAAAAAAAATTAATTTTATTAAATTTTACGTAAGTAATATAAAAGTAATATGTTCAAAATAATCCCAGGTAAAAAAGTATAAGCCTACAAATAAAAAAAAAAAATTAAAAGAGAAATAGATAAAAAAATTTATTCTAATTTGAAAAGAATTATATTTTATATAATTAGTAAATAAATGAGTTCTTCAAAAAAAAACAAAAAAATAAAATTACCAAATAAGTGCAAGTAACAATTAAATTAGTAGTTATCAAAAGTATTATTAAATATTTAAAATTGTCTAAAATAAAAAAAAAAAAAAAAAAATAAGAGTTTTTTCATATATTTTAAAAATAAAAGAATTAACATTTTTTTTTTTTTTTTTTTTACCGTTATTTGAGGTTAACAAGATATATGGTATCCAAAAAAATGATATTTTGCATATTAAGTAATTAAATGGTAAACCTTAAAAAAACAAAAAATGTAAATTTTAAATTATTTCTGATAATAAATATCAAAGAAATTTTTTCGAATTTTCTTTTAATTATAATAGCATAATACCTGAAGTAACATTAAAGTGAAACAAAGAAATATTACTTTTAATTTCTTTACTATAAAAAAAAAAAAAAAATAAATAAATAATAATTATTTTATAATTTTAAAAAAAACTTAAGTTTTTTAAAAATAAGATGAAAAAAAAAAAAATATATATATATAACCTTAGTAAATCCATAATATTTGAATGAAAAATCTTTGAAATTGTAAAGTTAGTTGAAAACGTAAAAGGTAAGTAATTATTAATAAAATAATAGGCTACTAACCAAATGATTTTTATAAATGTATGTCTCTAAAAACAGAAAAAGTCTATTTTAATTTTCAATTCACTATATATATATATATATATATATATATATATATATATATGTGTGTCTTTTTTTTTTCTTTTTTATATTAATACCTCAAAATTATTTATTGTTTGTCTAAAAAATAAAATGAAATATGTAATTACTGCAGTCAATGCTTTTTGCTCATAAAAGTTTTCATAATATGTTACATATTTTATAAAGAATAACAAATGAATAAAAAATCTTATTTCAGTTCCATGATAAGGGTGTAAACTTCTATCATTGTATTGTAGAGAGCTTAAGTATGGGTTACTTACAAAAAAAAAAAGTAAAAATAGGAAAGAAAATGCTTCATCACCACAATGGTTATATTTAATATTTAAAAATTTCTTTAAAAAGAAAACTAGAATAAATCCTGATAATACAATATTCATAAATATACTACTTATAAATATAACCTAAAGAAATAGGAAACAAAAGTATATCTAAAAATGATATATTAAAAAAATATACATGTACCATGTATATACAATAAAGAATATCAAAATATTCTTAAAATAAATTATTACTAAAAAAGTTATATAAGTATAAAAATAAATACTATTTAATTTCTTTTTTTTTTTTTTTTTTTTTTACCCTATTAACATGTTTTGCATACAAAGACAGTAAAATATAAACAAAAAAAAAGGTGAAGAATGTTTTTAAAAGATTTGAATCGTTTAAAAAAAATATGTGAAAAATGAACTTAAAAGAATAAAGAAAATTAACCAAGTAATTTTCACTTACATCATTTTGAAATATAGATTTAATATTTATATCTTTTAAATTGTAATTTAAAATATTTTCATAATAATTGTAATTGACACAAAAAATTGGTTTTACATTTTTATAATTTAAAATATTTAAAACATAAGGAAGAAAAAAAAAAGAAGAAAATATTAAAGCAAAATAATTTATATTTGTAAAACTTTTTCTTATTTCATAATAGAATATTTTTGCTTTAAAAATATAACCTCTTAAAAAAAAATACAAAGGACTTTCAACACTTGTAATCATATAAAAACAAATAAATATTACACTCACAGTAATTAGTGGTTCCAATAATTCCTTACTAAAATTTTTTTGAGTCATAATTTCTTCCTCCATTTTAGAAAATAAATATAAACAAATGATATTATGAAAATTATTTGTATTTAAGATAATAAGTATGCTTATGTGTAGTGGGGAAAAAAAAAAAAAAAAAAAAAAAAAAAAAATTACATTAATGAATTTATACTTATCGTTATTTTTTAAACCATAGATACAAAAAAAATATATCTATTTATATTCACATATTTATATTTTATTATATACATATATATTTTTTTTCATTTATATCTATTTTTAAAATGTTAAGACTGCTTTATAACTTCTTTTATATGGTATTTTTTTTTTTTTTTTTTTTTAATTTATTTTTATTAAAAAAATGAATATTGTTTAAAAATATTTCTGTAGTATTTTTTTAATTTTAAATGTTTAATTCATAAAAACTTTTATATTTTATCCCTTTTTTATGTGAAACTTTTTTTTTTTTTATTTTTGATAATAAAATATAAATCCTATAATAATGATAAAAATTTATACTATTGTTTAATAATATTTCGATCTCTTTTTTTAATATATATATATAATATACTTAAAAAATATTTTCCTTTTATAAATGTATAATTATCTACTTGTAAAATATATATATATATATATATTGAATTTACATGAATATTCATTCAAATATCACTTAAATTTTCTTGCTTGATTTTAGAAAAAAAACGTTATCATTAAAAGTTTATATTAAAAAATATAATAATAAATAAACTACGTCCATCTTCCATTTATGCATTTAATAAAAGCAATTTAAGTGAGATAAAGAAAATAGACATAATTATATTTTTTTAACTAAATATATGAAAAAAAAAATAAAATATATGATATCAAAAAAAAATAAAATAAATAAATAAACGAATAAAAAATTAAATGAATAAATAAAATGATAGATAAAAAAAAATAACTCAATGAATATGCTTAAAGTTATAACCTATATTTTTTAATTACATGTGCAGAATTTTCTATTCATGATCATGTAATTTTTTTTAACAATATCTAACCGTATAAATCATAAATAAAAACTTTATACTTTAAAATTAAAATAATTTATTATTATTATTATTGAAGTGTATGTAATACTAACTATTTATATTTTAGGTAAATAAAAAATAAAAATAGAAAGGTAATATATATATATATATATATATTTTTCTTTTTTTGTTTTTTTTTTTTTTTTTTTGGAACAATATATATATATG